CCCCTCTGTGTGATACTGAGCCACACCACCACTAATGATGGTTCTGAGCTGAGAAACGTCACAGCCACTCTTGTGGCTGGGAGTGAGCTGAGAGTGAAACACCTGGCTGAACACATGAACGTGGTGTTTAGGACTCGTGTCAGAAACATAAAGCAACTTCAGTTGGACTTTTGCATCATATCTTATTACAGCACCTAGAAGTTTACTTTATTGTTCTCTATCTTTGCCCTTTGCAAAGCTTTGTGTTAACACAATGTTAGTTTATTCATTTATGTTGCCACATTTTGGGAGGGAGATGGTTTTTGAGTACACCTTACATTTTTGATTAGTGATAATACATTGCCGGACAAGTATCTTAAAATTGTATTTCTACAATACACATTTCTATAATAGAAATGTAACTAAAGTTGAAACAGTCTACTCAAAAGTTATGACTATTATTCAAAAAGCATTGTATCCATTTAGATATTTTCGACACCCTTTATTATTTATTAACTGAACAAATCTCCTGTTAAACTACATATTTGATAAGTGAATTATATTTATTCAGTAATAAATAAATCAGATTATCTCAACGAAATATTAATTGTGTACAATGCTGCCACCTAGTGGGAGATGGCTGCATGTGCAGATGGGAACAAATTCAGTGTTTGAAACTAATAGAAGGAAAAGTGTTACTTTTGAGTGACTGGTACCCCTCATCTGCAGTGGTGGATGCAGTATTCAGATCCTTTACTTAATTATTTTACTAAGTATTACATGTACTAAGTGTAGAAGAATTCACAATGTGATATAATTAAGCAATAGCTCACGACAGGCCGTGGTATACAGGGGCGGACTGGGGGGAAAAGTGGCCCGGGGATTAATTGACAGACAGGCCCACTTAATGCGCGGCATGTATCGGCCGGCCGGCGACGAAAGTATGTTACTTAACAAAAAATCCTATGCATTTTATGTTATTTTGGACAATTATTCATATAGTAATCACAACACCTGAGCCCTTGAGTTGCCTAGAGCAAAAATAGTTACAGCATATATTTAGTGATTTTAATGTTAACAGATCATTGATGCAATAACATTTTGACCCAATTTGCCTGATTTGACACATGGAATAAAACATTGGCGTAGGAAGCATCCTCAATGTGGGTGAGACAATTTAACAGGGGGTGTGGGCAGGTGGTGGACCTCAACTCCTCTAGGGGGGTCCGGGGGCAAGCTCCCCCGGGAAGATTTTTTTTTAAATGTTGAAGTTAAATGCATCAATCTGGTTCACTTTGAGAGCAAAATTAGGGACTAAATCTATGGCAGTCAGTAGGGGCTTGGACTGTGAGCCGTAGCGTCGCCGGTTCAATTCCCCGACCAGACCTACATTTGGAGTGTGGACTTCTACTTGGAGAGGTCCCAGTTCACCTCCTGCCCTGCCGTGGTGCCCTTGAGCAAGGCACCGGACATCCCCCTTCCCCCCTCACTCCCATTGCTCCCCGGGCACTGTACAATAGCTGCCCACTGCTCCTAGTACTAGACTCCTGTCACTAGGATGGGTTAAATGCAGAGAACACATGTGTGTGCTGTGTGCTCTGCATGTGTGACCATTAAAGAGGGTTTCATCCCTCCCAATTCTTCTTCAACACCCATATAAAACAGAACTGTAAACAAATTTACTTTTTCTTTCAACATTTATTTGAACAGCAAGTGGAGGCAAAAGTGACTGCACCCAAAACAATAAACTAGCTAACTAGCCTAAACTCAGTAACAGAATGTGGGCAACACGTTCTTCTCCACAGCCGCGCGACCTCTGAGTCAGACGTCACTTCCTCCTTTTCTATCCTACGGGTACAGCCGTACAGCCACTCCCCCTGAACCCTGTTTCCCTGCCAACCCCCCCCTCCCCTCCCCTGTGCAAGCCCCTCCCTCTGAACCCAGGGCTCGCTACAATACTGTAGCTTTTTCTGTATACACAAACTATACAAAAAACGCCTTTACGCTTTGGAGCTTGTTTATCCATCTGTAAGCAACTGCCAGCTAGGTCTCTCAGTCACTCACTCCTGATCGTTCACTGCGCAGTGACAGCTGCTACGGGCCTGATGTGTGAAATTGAAACTGATGGATAGAACAAAGGTAGCTCATCAAAACGGCTGGGCCGGAACACTTACAAATGTAAGTAAAAAAAAAGATTTTTTTTTTTTTTTTGGCCCTCCGGCCCACACACAGCACCGGCCCACCGGGGACTCCCCGGTACTCCCAATGGCCAGTCCGCCCCTGGTGGTATATGCTCATTATATCACAGCTAAGGGGCGCGGTTCGGCCCGACGCGAAGCGGAGGGTCGACAACTGCAGGCAGTTTGCTTTTCAGCCCAACTGTATACTGTTTTTCTCAGGCGAGGAGGGATGCTGACTTGTTGTGAAAAGTAACTTACAATTCTACCCGTGGTATACGCTCAGTATATCACGGCTAAGAACCAATCAGATTGCTTGATTTGACTTATCCGTTTTATAATGTTGTATAGATGATTGTTTCTCATCCATTAATATAAAGCAAGTTCTACATTTGCTGGATTCTGAGCTAATGTTGACTATTTAATAGAAAGGACTGCTACTTTTCATCATTCAAGTTAAAGTGGACCTATCATGCTATATTTGAATAATAAAGTGTAGGACCATACCTATATAAGGTATATTTATTTATACTTTTCATTTTTCAAAATACCAAACAGATCATGCATTTTAGCCATTCCTCATTTCACTCAATTTAACACTGCCTTGCTCGGATTCAGTGAGAACAGCGCCATCTGGTGGCCTGAAATATATACTACAGCGTCTCCAGCGCTTTCGAACGACATTGTCCGTGGCTGTCTCCTCCTGATTGGTGGAGTTGGCCCAATAGCCGTAGCCCAACTTCTGTGACGACATAAAAGTGTTCAAATCTGGATCAGTCTGTATCAGATCCGTTGCAGCCCCTTTTTTAGAGATTTGGGTATGGAGGAAAATAAAGAGGGTTGTGTTTTCTGACACTTGGTGAGTTCCCTGGAACACCGGGGACACTTATTCATGTATAAAAGACGTACAAAAGTGCATTTTGCATGATAGGTCACCTTTAAATGAATTTTGATGCTAGTGCTTACTTTTACTGAAGTAACAACATCAATCAATTCAATTGCGTTAACTCAACTTAGCTTTGAACTGTGTTGAGTTATTTAAAACAAGACTGTTCTTTTTCCATTGAAGTGTTGTAAAGTAGCTGATGGAAGGAAGAAGAAAGGACACACTCCATTGTTGTGGCAGATTGTATTTCTCATCCGTCACTTCATAGCTGTTATAACAAATAAAATGACAGAGTACTGTAAAGACAGAAACAGACAGAAAGCTCAGCTCAAAAAGATAAAACAACACATACAGCAATGCTAAGACTTTTCAAAAAGGGACCCCCACCCTTTAATACCAACTCCATCTTAATATCACAACACATGTTCATCATACATCATCACCGTGTGAGAGCAGGCTTTCTGCTGTTGAAGCACGGTCTGTATGAAACTGTGAAAAGCTCTAATGTGTATGTATAACGAGTCAACCAAGATCCAAGTTTTGCAGTTATAAATAATAGTTTTTAGCATAAAAGGAAAAAGTATCTAAAGGGTGTGTAATGTTTTTACACAGTTTTATAATAAAGAGTTCAACTACTTTGTTGTTCCTACAGAGGATGGAAAAGTGACTCTTTTGGCACAAGTACATTCACCTGGGTTTTAAAACGTGACACACTACAGGAAAGAACACAAAGTATACAGATACAGTCAAAACTATTTCATTTGATCGTAGCTTCCACAAAACAATGAAGACGTTTAAACACATAGTCGACACAGATAACCATAGCACACTTTGCAAGAAGTCACAAACTATTCCAAACACCGGGCGTCAATCAAAAAACAACTCGAAGGAAGAAAAAAAAGAATATGAAATCAAGAGTTAGTCCATAAACAAGACCCAATTATCTTTTATTTCTTCCTAATTATTATTCTTTTAATGTCAGAATGCATCATTGCTGCCATCTTGTGGCCATCGTTCAGATGATCATGTTCGAGCTGCTAATGGCTTCAAAGCTTCATATCAACCTTGGAACATTTCTCAGAGAACTATCCTGGCTCAAGGTCCTCTTAATGCCCTTTTTCCAAGGATTTCTACTCTATCGCAAGGTTTTCGTCAGAGATGAATCCGTTCAAATGCATTCTCTGCAGCCGTTGTGATTTCATCCACAGATCTTTGTGTTATAATCTACGTTGACTTTAATGTAAAGCATGTTTGATGCAGGAACAGCCAGAAAAGGGACTTCCGATTTGGATTATTCTTTCAAACTAGCACATTTACTTCCTGTACATTTTAATACTTTAAGTTTTGAAATAAATGTAATACTTTATTTCTGGTAGTTTAGCTTACATCTCCTGAACCCACTGCAGTGAAATATCATCTCTTCCTTGACAGTTTAACTCAATACACAACATGGTACAGCCAATTTGCGCATTCACATTTCTGCTTTAAGTCATCAGATGCCCCAGATACACTTTTATATTTACATATGTAACCTTGTTGTAACTTTTTGTAAACAATCTGCTTTCTTTTAGTGTGGCTTTGAAGCTTGAAAAACATGGATTGATCATGAGTTGACCTCCCTGTAATGTTCAGCAGATGCTGCTTGAAATGAGAGTGGTGCTCAACCTTTTTTGCATTCATTACCTAAAATGCCCACTCGTGCTCATAATGAATACACACATTATAATTTTCTCATGTCCCCTCAGCGTACAACACTCAACGGGTAGAGGCAGCGCAGCAGCTGCAGATTTAATTATTCCACACTACTAAAAGCACATTTATACAAACAGGATCATGTACTCGTTTGGTAGAAATGTACCGTATGCATTTAAGGGATATGGCTGTAAATATTCAATATTTTTCATAGGCCGAAGCCTGATATAAGCTTATTCCTTTGTATCCTCTATAAACACACGTCAGAAATCTACACTGGATGACATGCTGTTGAATTACAGTGAACATGGACACTGATGCTTTCCCATAAAGACCACTCTGTTGCTCTGTGGTAATCTTGAGATGTATCCAACTTCAGTGCCAAGTTTTTTTTTGCTATTGTACCTTTTCTAATTTTGTCTTTAGTAGTAACAAATAATCTTGAGTGCCACAGAGAAGAGGTCAGAAGTTTGAGACAGACTAACACATCGATGGTTTTTGTTTTTTTCATTGTTGGCCTTTTTCTTTTTAATCATCATCCTTGAAAGTAATTGTGTGGTATCATGTTGAAACGTTTAACCTCATTAGGAAACCCTTTAAGGTATGAAGACAGTATCAGGTCAGCCTCAAACTCAAGTCAGACATTGACATTTAAGAAATGGCCCCATCTCTTTTCTCTTTTAGACACATCAAGCTCACATATCAGCAGCATCGTACCGTGACTTTGCACATGATGCTGTAAAGCAACCTAAAAGTGTAATCGTTTTTTTTCCTCAAAATACTTGAGACAAACAACACGTAACACAAACAGGACCAATCAAATTCAAGTAAACACATTTAAAAACGTTTCTGCATCTTTCTTTAAACACATTTGAAATACCTTTACAGTTTCACGGTATATCCACTTAAAATGTTACCGTGAATTTGTGGTACGTTGACAGCATATGCTGATGTACAGATAAGCTAACTGCAAAATGTCTTTCAATCTTTTCCACACTGCCTGCTGTCAAACATATGTACTGCTGTTAGAAACTATTAGAAATGCAGTGACTATTTTTTTTCAATTCACATATACAATCCTGTACCTCAGTATTGTCTGCACATCATCTGCTTCTCTAAAGCTCCTCTGGAGTACAGCTCCTCCTCCTGTTGACGCACCACGTCCCGTCTCACAGGGTCATTAGAGTTAGTATGACCTGCTTCGCCTCCTCCTCCTCCCCGCTTCTTTCCTCCAGCTGAGATGAGTTACCCCTGTCAGAGAGTTACAGAGCGGACACTTTGAAGATGTTGATTCCAGCTGAGCTTGCTGTGGTCTGGATGCTCGGCGCTGCAGGGTGACCAGGGGGCGGGGGGGGCCTCCTCTGTGGGGGCCCGCGGAGGCCGGCAGCATCGGGGTTTAAAGAGGGAGGGGACGGGAGGCTGATGATCGCTGTGGTGATACGTTCTCCTTTACAGTTGATCCTGACGCTGTCATTCGTTTTCAGGTTGAGCTTTGATCGACTAGGAAAAAAGAGATTTCATTTAGAGAGTATACAAACTATTAACAATGTGTAATACAACAATGTAACATGTATGTTAAACAACATAATACAATATTTTTGGCGACACACTATGACTTTTTCTTGACCTTTTATTTTTTGCCTACTTTACAATCATTTTATTTTTGACGGACAATGCTTATGTTTTATAATGTTTACAATGATATCCCAACCATGCAAGAGGCAGTGTTTAAACGGTACAGGTGTGTAGCTGAAATATTCAGGGAATTAAAGTGGGGAAGAACCAGTGTCCCCCCACTTTAAGTCCCTGGCCAGATTTAACAGTATGTCTGTTACCTGGTGGTGTGGGACCCTCCAGAGCCTATGTGGAAGGCACTGAGCTCCTGCAGGGGGCTCTGCTGTGTGGGGACGGGGGGGCTGCAGGGCAGAGGAGTGTTTTTCTTTGTCCTGCAGCCACAGCAGGTGCCCACAGATTCGTCGTTGCTGGATACAGACGGGCTGCGTGAGTGGTAGCTCTGCAGCGCCGTGTCCAAACAGTTCTGCTCGTATATCTGCTCGTCTACAAACTCATGAGCCTGGAGAAATGAGACAGGACGGGGGATTAAATACACGTGAAGGGAAAGGTGCAGAAAGAGGAAAAGAAAAGTCAATACAACACAGATGTAGTTGCCTTGAGTGATATCATTTCAAATTCTACAAAGAAAGATAATTACTACTGATTATAATATATATAATTGAACCAGAAGAACATTCATAAACTCACTCTGTATATTTGCTTAATGGATAGAGCATCAGTGCCTTTAACAAATCCGTTTCTTTACACTGAAATATTTTTGCAAAACACAAGTCAACTGACAACATCCACATCACTTTAGAGGGCAGACTTTGAAAAGGTGTCAAACTGATATATAAACATTTTGAGGGTTTTTTGTCAATAATCTTTTTCTTCCTGATGTTGAGGCAAATATGAGATATGATGAAAAACATTACTGTCATGACGATATTCATCCCGGACAGCCACAAAACTCCAATAATATAATATCAGTAAAGAATAAAAACAAACAGGGAATACACATGATTATGAGATCTTCGCAGGTGGAGTGTGTGGTTCCCGGCGGTGGTATCAAACTAAGTACTTGGGGTTGGGTTTAGTTAGGTGTCAGTATGGTTTCTGGATAATTGTGACGGGTATTTATTTAAATAATCCTCAGATTAATCCATAAGAAAAAACTGGTTTTTCCTGCATATGGTACTTTTTCTAATTTTATTTACACACTATTTCTCAAGTTAAATTTTCAATGCAAACATTTGAAACGTAACTACTACTTATCTAATGCAAACCGTATTATCATGATTCAATACTTAAAGGATAATTAACATATAGTTTCAACCACATTCATGAAGTTGTAGGATTGTTTTACGCTGCAAGGGTCAGAGACAGAGAAGTGATCGAGTGTACCCACAGTGGTTTTCTCCAGACAGTTCAGTAGGTGGTGGTGTTGGCTCTCTAACAGAGACGTTGACTTATTCAGCTTCTGATCATCCTCTTCTGTATCCTTAGTAAGCCACACACACACACAAACACAAACACACACGCACAAACACAAAATTGATGAATTTTGACAAATTATATTGTAGGTGTTTCTTCTTGACTCATTAAAGCCTCTCCTTTGTCATCCGTAATGAAGTCAGAGGTGACTGGTTCTGCTCCATGTGTGCCATTTTAAACTGGATGATCCTGGTTTATGTTTGTTTATCTCAATCATTAGTATTATCATTAGTAGTGATCATTATTATCATTATCAGGTAACGGACAAATCCTGCTGCTTGCTTTCAGATAACTTACTTGTTAATTAATGACATAGTGGGCCACATTTCCAGTCCGTTTAAATTGACCCCTCTGCCTTGTCAAATAGTTTGTTTATAATGAATTGTCCCATGTTGCATCTTTTGTGCCATTATTACTGTAATTGCCTTATTTTGGTACCTTGTGTAAGCAGGCTCCAAAATACCTTCTCCTATATTGAACTTACAAATGTGAAAACTGTGTTGTTGCCAGCTCTCTTCCTTAATTATCTAAGTAGGTGCCACTGAGCACATGTGATGCTCCAGGCAGCTGAACAGATATTGATGTGTGAAGCGTCACAAAAAAGGAGGTGGAGAAGAGTTGACGAAAAGAGATTTGTGTTTCTCCAAACAGAACTCGGATTCAAAGCTCCGCTCCAATATAGCTTAGTCTCAAAGCAATCACAATTGCCAAAAACATGAAAACTGAAAACAAATGAATTCCCTCCCCACAGCACACATTGTTACTCAAAGGATTTGGGTGGGTGGCGATCCAGCCCAAGGACTCTCATTCAAATTCCAGACACATGAACAATACAGTGATGTGCGCGTGAGGAAACTGCGTCTTCTGATGTTTCAATGTATGGATCTGTGGCACTGTCAAACACAACGTATAGTTAGAGACCTGTGTCAACACTCTGGTGTAAAAGGCTCAGTTGGTACAATCCATTTGGAAAGTGATTTTGACGGCATTAACCTCACTGTGAAAATTATATTTTTTGTTTAACTTGTCTTATCTACTAGGCTTAGAGCTGTTTTTCTGAGATGGTCCATTTGTTGTGTATGATATGACAATAAAGAGGTACATCTCTTAGTGTAAATGATACCAATCAATAACTGCTTTACGAATATATTAGTTTGGTTATTATTTCTTCAGTAATGTGATCTTGTATTTATCGATCATTCAAATAGATGTTTTTGTCAAAAGTGGACGTTCCCATTCTACTTTTTTATTCAACAGTTTCTCAATTAATATTCCAGAAAAATGCACTACCTAAATATTTAATGAAATAAACAGCGATAAAGAATATTTCACATTCCTGTAAAACAATATCTTATCTTCATCTTATATTTGTTGTCTTAACTACATTTATTACAATTTGTATGGCAATCGGTCCATTGGCCTTTTTCTAATGTGCAGAAGAACACAGGAAATAAGACAGTTGTGATTGTGAGCCCCATTTCACCTTTCCTATATACAGTAAATACTATATATCTATCTGACTGGTTCTGTTGTAATTTAGCACCTGTAACCCGCCATGTTGGCAGTAATTTGGTGTTTACCATATCAGAAAAAATCCCGTCACTCTAAAGTAAAAAGAGAAATACAACAGCAGCGAAAGGAGTAACGCTGTAAGGCCTTTCTGATGAAGCTTATAATAAAACTTGACAGGATTATCAATAAATCACCCTCTACGATAATGAGCCTGTGATCTAGGTAACAAATAAATGGCTGTCAGAAAATTAAAAAGCCTTCAGGGGAGATGAAAAACTAGCAGACCAGAACTTCTAATCTTGGTTGTGAAAGAAGCAGTCATTTTGTCATGTCACCTCGCACTCGACCCCACCCCGGACCCCTCACTGACTGACAGCAGTGACAACACCCTCATTTGATGCGGCAGGACTCATCGCACACGCCAAGGAATACGCTTGCTCTGCGCTCACATATGGAGTGTATATAATAATTCTAATCACTAACACCCATGAGCCTTCACACTGGACTCTATTAGATCCAAATGCATTTCAGTTTCCATCTGCACGGAGGGGAGCGTGTAGCAAGACTTACAGTATGGACAGGAAGGACACAGGCAATTTGCTCATGCATTAACATGGTTCAAACTTAAAGTGGATGAGTATAAAAAAAGAAAATAAGTAGATTGGTTAATGTACTGGTGCTCTGATGTGTAAATAAATATTCAACCTCATCCTCTCAACTTTATAAGCATTTCTTTAAACTTGATTTGTTGCCACGAAAAACGGTTATTTCAGTTTTTTAGTATGGTGATGACAAAAGACAATGACATAACAACAATGCAGTCTATAATCATAGAGAGGAGGAAAGACAGAAACATGGTGTACCTCTGAAGAAGGACAGAAACATTTTTTCTCTTCTGTAGGAACAGGAGTCGTGGGGTTTGAGTTTCCTCCGCGGCCTTATTGTTCACTGCTGCACTTTTGAAGTTAGCTGCAGCCTCTTTTTTAATGCACTAACCGTCTAATTATCACCAAGAGCAATTAAATAACAAGCAAGGGAAGTACAAAGTTGGACTTTGCCAGTTTTACAGATGTGGAATAAATTAAATCTAGGATTAACAGACAACTAAGAACAAGTATTTTGTGTGATGACACTGATAACGCCTGAATGTTCGATTATTGGCATGACTCCTGTATGACAACCAGAAAGTAATGACTCGGCTGCTTTCATTGCCTCTAAATGACTTCTAAATTGTCCTTTGCTTGATTATAGGAGTAAATGTTTGCCTGTGTGTGTGTATACTACAGATCTGAATGTTTTCCTTGCGTTGCAGGGAACTGGAATCATTTGTAATAGGATGTTTGACAAGGAACAATATGATTAATCTCTCATACTGAATTACAATCTGCTGACATCTTCATGTCGCTTTTAATGAACACATTGAACATCTGAGTAATAATGGCGCCCACTCGGTCCCGCTGCTGGTGGTTGTCGGTGTGCAGAAGGCGGAGGTCGTTCTCACCGTCAGCTCTAGCAGTTCGTTGAGCAGGCCGTTGCATTTGTTGTGCAGAAAGGCGCTGGCGCTGGATTTGGATATTCTTATCCTGGCCAGTCTGGCTTTCTGGGCGTGGGAAGAAGAGGAAGAGGAAGAGAGCACAGCATCAGACAGGGTGGGCGGGGGGGCACTGAACATGACTTGTGCAGTATTTAATGGTGAGAAAATGCAAACTCATCACTCAAGCTCTGTAGTAATTTATCAGCTACTGCTGTACAGCTTACCCCCACAACTTTACATTATTTTTTAATGAAAATGTTTAGGAGAACAAAACTATATAAAATCAAGTTTTATTTATATAGCACATTTAAAAGCGATTTTTGGTCGAGCCAACGTGCTGTACATGTAATAAAAACACATTACTACAATCACAATAAAAGACAATAATTTACAACAGAAATATAAAAAACACAGGGAATAGTCAGGTGTCATGCTCCGCTCTGACTAGAAGGCCAGGTAGAAGAAGTGAGTCTTTAGTCAGGATTAAAAAAAACCCTAGTGTCTCGGCCGACCTCACATGGTCACTGCTGCGAAAGCTCGGTGACCTCGGGTTTTGAGCCTGGTCTTGGGAACTATCAGCAACAGCTGGTCAGCAAACCTTAAAGCTCTGGCTGGGGTGTAGCGATGGAGGAGTTTAGGGCTTTGAAAACAATTAAAAGGATTTTAAAATCAATTGAGGACAGAATTGGGGTGATGTGGTCACGCTTTTTGTGGTCAGAAGACGTGCAGCTGCGTTCTGGACTAGCTGCAGGCGTTTAATTGAGGCCTGGTCCACACCCACATACAGAGCATTGCAATAGTCCAGTCTCGAGTTAACAAAGGCATTAATAACCCTTTCTAGGTCTTTAAAACATAAATACGACTTGGTTTTGGCCAATAGTCTTATTTTAAAAAAAAAAAAAAAAAAAAAAAAGAATAAGAAGCAGGATTTGACTATGGTGCTGACCTGCTTGTCGATACTAATACTGTATACACTCAGGTACATGGCTAAGAGTTTATGGACTGGATTTACTGGGAACTATTTTAATAATTGGTTTAACGTATTCCTTATAGCAAAGTCAAATACACTACTTACAGTTTCTAGTTCCAATGTCTCCAACGGGGCCATTTCCTGTTTTAACTTCTCATATGTTTTAGGAAACTAAATGTATCTCTGAATTTGTAATTGTGGGTTGTAGAAAATAAGACATTTTAAGTTATTTGTGTTAACCTATACTTTGTCAGGGAGGACCATTAAGACCAAGGGATAATTTTTAAGATAACGAAAAAAACAATTGATTGTCAATGAGAAAAAAAATATGGATATTAAATAACCATTATTTGATAATGAAAGTAATCCTTATTTATACCCCTAATGAGCAGAGGGTGTCCTCTAGCTTTTTTTTTGTGGCAAGTTTCAGTATAGAAAGGATCAAAAGTAGATTTTTAATCACAAACTCACTGATGAATTTCACAAAGATGTAATAAGATCTGATCATAATTTGTTTTTGTTTTGTTTTCATCTTCATATTTTCTGATGCTAAAATCTTTTTGTTCCGTCTTTTCTCATTACGTTGCGATTTCTGTTTGTTTATCTTGATCAAAACTGAATGTTGATTCCAGTGAGACTAACAACCACTTTGTTAAAGCTTATGAGGATGCAAATAAACAATGAGTAATGCCTCTTCGAAGCTGAAATTCTTTGTGCGGGACAATATTCTAAAACATTTCAGATTTATCCTTTCAATGAAGAGATTGAAGATTAACCATAAACCACATTAAAAAAATAACAATTAAAAAAACAGGAATGCTAGCACGAGGTAGAAAGTTGCTGTCAACGACTGAAACACAACTTAAGGATCGTTTAGGTCTGCCCATAAGACACTGAACATTTTACAACGCTGGATCTGAATATAAAACTGCATTCACTTTCAAAGCCTGTTTGCCACCTCCTCTTTGTCTGCAATGAGGTGTAGCAAAAGTGATAACTCCTTCAAAAGAGAGATGTGATAACTGAACAGAGCGCGAGAGACAGACAGGAAATGAGAGAGAAATCATATTGGGAATTTCTAAAAATGAAGAGGATATTAAGACGACTCTGCCTCAAGTGCTTTGACATGTACGGGGAGAGATTTCTTTAACCTTGTCCTGCTCTCTCTCCTCGATAAATGCATTTCAGAAACAGGAGACAGGCAGAGCAATATCTATTTCCAAGATGCGAATGAAAAGTAATGGAATTAGTTGGATGTCTTAGAAATTGTCTGTCAGGCCGCAGATACACATGAAGGTGAGAGGAAGGCTATGGAACTGTGATATAATAGTAATGATTGTGTATGTACGTGCTCAGTGTGTGAAATGGAGAGGAAGAGGGGAAAAAAGACCGTTGGCTGCTTCCTTCTACAAAGCTTCCACCAAATTGTGAATGAATTTGAAAGAGAGTTCTTTCGAGTGCTGCCTGCATTTCTGTTTGATCAAAAGCTAAACTTGACACACAAAAAAAGAGAGGAAAAAATAACTGACTCTGATCCTACTGATGTGGTGATGAGTATTTCAACTTCTGCAAAGGGCCAATGAAACTTAATATTTCTGAGGAATTGTGACTCTGAGCTGATGAAATCATGAATCTATTAGAAGTCCGGACAAGCAAGGGTTGGTGAAGTCTTGAGACACAGGTTTTAAATGACAAATCTAATACCTGGCCTGCTGTCAACAGACTGTTTTTTAAATCTAGGTGGCAGCAATGATGACGAACTGGTCAAATACAAATGTCTTAATGAAATATTCCTTTCTCATCTTTTTTGGCATAGAGTACCCACTGGACTACCCCTTACAAAAGAAAAGGACATGTCGCTCCGCAATAACATCCCTATGCAATCAGATTATTTCGGAGTCTTTAAAATCATCAAACTAAAGGGAAAGAGATAGGACCAATTTTTCTTTACTATTAGACCACTGCCCAAGTCAACTCTTATAAAAAAGCAATGATGGATTATGTTGTCCCTCTCATAACTTAATGCCTCTTCTCCCCTTCCTGTGGCTCTCAGCCTGTCGCCCAATAGTTCCCAAGGAAGAGGGTCATTTTTCAATAGAAATATTACAGTGCTTTTATATTGTGTTTCAATAAAGATTGAGGAACGGTCAAAACCAGTTAAGAGTAGTGAAACATAACCATACCTTAGTTTTTTTATAATCATAGTCTTCAATGATTCTGGCTCACACATTTTCCATTTTGCAACCAAAAGCATCTTTAAGTTAAACTTTTGCTGGCTGGTAATTTACCATGTCTTTCTGTTCTAGACCTGTATCAACTCTGATCAGGTCTTTACGACTTTAGAAGACTTTGTGCTAAAAGCTGTTATGCAAATCTCTTCACAGGTAAGATAGATGCTGAGGCACACACACACACACACACACACACACACACACACACACACACACACACACACACACACACACACACACACACACACACATACATACATACATACATATACGTGTATATATATACATATATATATATACACACACAGTTAGTAGGGAAGGACGATAATTTATTCTAATTTAGAGTCCCTTCTTTCTATTTTTTGACTGTGAGGCTACAATGGGTACATGAGAAGACTTTTTTCTAAAGGCAAATCCCCAAATGACTGCATAATTGTAATGGGAGCCTGGAGCCACCTGTTGTTGGAGGAGAATGAAGACGAATTAGATCTAGAGAGGAAGGTAAGGCCAGGTGACATGGAGAATACGAGGAGGTAGAAAGGATGAACAGTGTTCATTTAAATGGGACCTCTCATGCAAAATGCACTTTGTGATGTCTTTTATACAGAAATATGTGTCCCCGGTGCGTCAGGGAACTCACGCGGAGTCAGAAAATAAAACCCTCTTTCTTTTCCTCCGTACCCAAATCTTTTAAAAACGGGTGTACAACGAGCGGATACAGATTTCCATCCGGACTGACATGTCCATCCCAAGCCCCCAGGAAGTGCGCCGGACTATGAGGAAAATATTCGTTGTAGCCAAACGGCGGTACTACACTTCCGTTAGGTTGCTGGACCCGGAAACAGTTTTTCCCATTGACTTACATGGGCAAAGAGTGGTCTGTAAATCGTTGGAAATTTGTTTTTTAATCTAAATAAACTACCCAGAATGAACGTTTTATACAAACGTTCATTCTGGGTAGTTTGTTTAGTTTAAAAAAAATTATTAAAAACATTCGGTCCTCAATATGTAAAATGTGCTAATAACGTTATTCTGAGAGTTATTTTCCTCGGCATTATGAACGCGCATCTAACCCACGGGACCGCGCCGCCCGGCACGTTCATGTTACGTGTTCAGTACATGCGTTTTACCTTTACCCATGGATGCACAATAAGAACGGACCCATATGGCCTTACTGCCAGCCCACGGAGCTGTAATAATGGATATATTGCACATGTTTGCTGTAATTACGGTAATCATTTGTAAAATATTATACTACATGGGCTGTATGATGTAAATCTTGTGCCGTAAATGTTGTATTAAATAAAGTTAATATTACTGACGTAGATTAACGTCCCTGTATTGCACTGTGTATATATGTTTGTATGTATATGTATATATGTATACTGTATGTATGTATGTGTATATATATATATATATATATATTAGGCATGGGCGGTATCATTTTTTTCATACCGTCATACCTTGCTGACATCATACCGTGGTATACGGTATATGATGGTATCAGTCCCAATTTAAGGGGTCATTTCTCCCAAAAAAAAATGTTTTACTCACTATATCAACAGCCCCACCAAAAATATTTTCCACCAGCCGCCAGAGTCCTGCATCGGGTCGGGTACCCGACGGGTGACCCGCAANGTGAGTCACACTTTCTATTGAAACTAATAGAAGGAAAAGTGTTACTTTTGAGTGACTGGTACCCCTCATCTGAAGGATCTGAATACTGCATCCACCACTGCAGATGAGGGGTACCAGTCACTCAAAAGTAACACTTTTCCTTCTATTAGTTTCAATAGAAAGTGTGACTCACTGCTGCGAGGGTGAGCTGGATATGTGGCTTTTGATCAGCCTTATTCTGGTA